TTTTACTCTCTCAAACCTTTGTAGAATATCAGTTAAACAAGGTTAAATATCACTGGTTTTGTTAAACACAAAATGATGGTGAAATTTATGCAACGAACTTGACATCCTTGAGCGCAAGCAAGTGCTCCATCTTCACCTTGAATGCTATCCATTTTGAACTGCCAATATCCGACTTTCGACACTGGCGTATAAGTAATTGGAGCCACAAATCGACGGTCATCGACACCACCAAATGTGATTTCTCCTCCGAAGTCTTCAGTCGGATTTCTATCACAAACATATATACGTTCAGTCACACTGATATCGAAATTCTTTTTTTTTTTTGAAGGTAGTAAATGTCAACAATAATATCTTACCTATTGAGCCAAAATGCAAATTTTGCTTCCGGTATGACTTTTTGATCTATCATCGTGTTAAACACTGGCTTTAAGCCAAGGACAGCAATTTCTGGAAATGCCATACCTAATATACCATCAAATTTTGCCATGACAAATGTGATACCAGGTTCAGAAGTTGCTTCAGCAAATGGTTGATCTGTAACGCATAAGTCGGCAATCTGAAATATTTTAATCAAATAAGCTTTTTCTAAAACATTTAAGCAGGACATCAACTTTCAGCATTACAAAATAACTGCGTCCTCTCTCAGCTCCAAGCTTCCAGCTACATAGAAGCTACTTTCATTCTATTCAAATTCATAATTGTTTATGGATGAATTATTGCAATATTTTAACACTTTATGGAGATCAATAAACATCTTCTCAAGTAATATTTTTATCAATAACAATAATCTCAAATAATATTTTCAAATAATATTTAATAATATTTTTAATAATATTTTTTATTTTTTTCCATTGTTTTTTGATTCATTTTTATGATTGGAATGGAAAAGGTACAATTCATAAAAAGTACAATTCATCAGGATGCTTACACAAACAGTGTCTAATGAAACAAATCCTTTCATTGAACCTTTTCCGTACTGAATTTGTATTTCGCGACCATCCGGTTTAGAAGTATTTGAGAAATTTGAATTGTACTTTTTATGCAGCACTGAAATCATTTCATTTGTTTCACACATTGGAAAAATTGTACTATTTATAAAGTGATCGAAAGTTTTCGCTCACTACGTGGTACAGTCTTCCATAAT